GAGTCCAGGCTAGATCGGCGTAGAGAGAGAATAGATGCAACGCGGCCCTCACACTGAATCCGACAGATCATCTTACCAGAGAGACAGGTATACGCTGGGAAAGTGACAGTAAGAAGCTGAGATGGCAGGCTGGCGGCGTTGACGTGTCTCCAAACGAGTCCAGGCTAGATCGGCGTAGAGAGAGAATAGATGCAACGCGGCCCTCACACTGAATCCACGTGGAAATAGCATTGACAGATCATCTTACCAGAGAGACAGGTATACGCTGGGAAAGTGACAGTAAGAAGCTGAGATGGCAGGCTGGCGGCGTTGACGTGTGTGCAAATGTGTATCATGATGATGCGCTTTTATTTTGGATAAAATCAAATGGATGGCCGACATTAACGTGCATGAAACACGCCATACGCACATCACATTTAAAACACGTCGTCGCCGAGCATAATTAAAAAATAAAGAGACAATTAATTTAGGGTGTGATCATTGATTACTTCATATTTTTGGTAAGGTTATATAAATTATATTTAATTTAATTAATATTTATAATTTTTTTTAAAAATTAGTTATGATATTTAAAAATATTAATTAATTTATTAATATTAATTTATTAAATAATAAATATTAGTTAATCTATTAATTATTAATTATTTTTATTAATTAAATTAAACAAAATCAATATTTTTTAAACACCATATTATGTGGTTTTAACAAATTAATTAATTGCTATAACCACATCCTTAATTTATAACAAATTTTGCACCTAACCCTCTTGACTCGATGATTATAAGTTATGTTGTAAGTGCATTCCAAACTAAAAAATTGAATTTCAAATCCTCTTATCGCAAATTTGTAACTTATTTAAAAAAAAAAATTGTAACAAATTTTGATTGAAAACATGCTATTTTTGAAAATGTGAGTGTTATATTTTATAATATGAATTGTACCAAATTATAAGACAAATTATTAAATAGGAGACAAATCTCAATATAAAGGAGTTCTATTCATCCAATAATTTAAATTGTATGGAGTATAGTTATGGTCATACAAAATTTTGTGAAGGCTACATAAATTTCTTAATAAATATATATTGTCTCTATAGGTACTAATTTTGTTTAATTTAATGGTTAAAAAGAGCTAATAATTAATAAAATAATTAATATTTATTACTTAACAAATTAAAATTAACTTAAAAATAACATTTTTAAATATGAAATTAATACATTTTAGTCTCGACTCCTAAAAATAATTAGAATTTTAATCTACATTTAAAAATTAAAATCTCATCCTATTCAATATATATCTAAATTTAAAAATTTATTATATATTTTAATATATCAATGTTTAGTAAGATAATTTTTTAAATTGTGAATTAAGTTTCAATTAAATAAAATGAGCGTAATTTAATATTATAACTCTAATTATTTTTAAGAGTTGAAATTAATATGTATTTTTTTTGTTTAAATATTATAATTATCTATTTAAAAATTATAAATAAATAAAATAACATTTCAATCAAATACAAACAATATAATGTACCATGTGTGACGTTCACAAAATTTTGTGTTCCGTTGCACAGCCAGTAAGAGCATGAAGTGTTACCGTTACTACAGCAGTCGCCGCCGACAAAGTTACCGCCGTCTCCATTGCATTACGGTTTATCTATCGGCTCATCTCATTAAAGTGCGAAATAAAAAAGCACTAGGTCAGACAAACAAAAAGTCATATCACATTTTCCTTTCTACAAAAATGAATAAATATCCACCATTATTACCCAAAAAAATTATTAAAATGCAAGAAGTTGAGTGTTTTGATGTTAAAAATATCATACAATTTAGTAATATCAATGATAAATAACTGAGACACATATATTAGATCCCATCTGAATATGAAGTGGTTAGAAGTAGATATTATTAAAATGTCTTAATTTTTATTTTTTATAAATAAAAATTATACCATATGCATATATAAAATTGTTTTATGTTGTCTAAATTATTCTAAATTTCATAAAATTAGGTATGTTTGTGCCTATGACTTGTATCATCACAAAAAAGAAAAAAATAAAAATTATGACTTTTTAATATTTAAAATGTTAAAATTATTTAGATATTTTTTATTTTAATACTTTTAATAATTTTTTATGTTTAATTTATTAAATATTTTTAAAATTTTGTTTTTTCTACTTTATGCCTTTAGTGTAAAGGTTAAAATTGTATATATTAATTTTTTATACTTAATTTATATAAAAAATTATAAAAATTGACTTGGTTAAAATTGTATATATTAATTTTTTATATTTAATTTATATAAAAAATTATAAAAATTGACTTTAATTTATTCAATTAGTCAATTAAAATTATTTACATTGAATTAATATTAAAATAATAATAAAATTTTTGAATTTTTAGGTACATTAATTACAAAATAATGCATTTATTTTTATTATCATTTCTCACAATAGTTTAAGAGTTGATTTTATATAAAAATTTCATATTTTACAATTTAAATTATATTAAATTATAAAATTAAAATCTTTAAATAAAAAAAATCTAATATCAAAGGTTCCTTTTTCAATTAAATAACAATTACTTTACAATGTAAATATAGTTTAAATTACCACTTGCAAAACAAATTTTGGTTTAAGCAATCCAAAAAGAAAGAATTACGGAATAAAAGAATAGTTCTACTTGCCATTTTTTATAATAGATTCCTTGGAAAAGTCATACCTTTCCATCTCTTACCTTAAATTTTTTTATTGAAATTTCCGTGTTTTGACCTTCCGCCTTTTGAATTTCTCTCATTCACCCCAGGTCCCCAACTCATCCATATATAGAAAAACCTAACCATCCCAATTCAATCAAAACAATTCACAGCTACCTTCAGAGTTCAATCTTCAATTTCTACCTCCACTACTTGTTCGTTTTATTTCAACTTCTCATCTGGTTTTCCCATGGAGGAAATCGATGTTCCCCCATTTTTTCTCTGTCCCATCTCTCTTGAGATCATGAAGGATCCTGTGACGGTCACCACGGGGATCACCTATGACAGGGAGAGCATTGAGAAGTGGTTGTTTTCCGGCAAGAACACCACTTGTCCGGTTACAAAACAGGTCATTTCGGATACCGAGCTTACTCCAAACCATACTCTCCGTCGGCTGATCCAATCATGGTGCACCCTTAATGCCTCGTATGGAATCGAAAGAATTCCTACCCCAAAGCCACCGATTAACAAAGCCCAGATCGCTAAGATCCTCAGCAACGCCAAGTCTCCACAGCAGCAGATAAATTGTCTTCATAGGCTACAATCATTAGCAGCAGAGAATGCTACCAACAAACGGTGCATGGAAGCTGCTGGCGCGGTTGACTTCTTAGCAACAATTGTATTCAGTTTCAATTCCATGGATGAAGAAGAATCATCTGAAGATTGGGTTGATTCCAGCAAGGTGACAGAGGAAGCCTTAAGCATTCTTTACAATCTACAAGTTTCAGAAGCTGGCCTCAAGAATCTTCTTGGAAAAAATGGTGATTTCCTCGAGTGCTTAACCCGAGTCATGGAACGAGGGACATATGAGTCCAGAGCTTACGCAGCTCTGTTATTAAAATCACTAATGGAAGTAGCAGATCCGATGCAACTCATGAGTTTGAGATCTCAGATTTTCGTCGAAGCTATCCAAATCTTGCATGATAATATATCCCAACAGGCCTCGAAAGCCATACTTCATTTCCTGATAAACGTCTGTCCATGGGGGAGAAACATGATCAAAGCAGTGGAAGCAGGCGCAGTATCTATCTTGATTGATCTCCTTCTCGATTCGTTCGAGAAGAGGATGTGTGAGATGATTCTAACGGTGCTGGAGATGTTGTCTAGTGTTGCGGAAGGGAGAGCCGAGCTAGTAGGGCACGCGGCGGGACTCGCGGTTGTTTCTAAGAAAATACTTAGGGTTTCTCATGTGGCAAGTGAGAGGGCGGTGAGGATTTTGCTGGCGGTGGCAAAGTTCTCCGCCACACCCATTGTTCTTCAGGAGATGCTCCAGATAGGTGTTGTGGCGAAGCTGTGCTTGGTTCTTCAAATGGATTGCAACAGCAGGGCCAAGGAAATCGCTAGAGAGATACTGAAATTGCATGCTGGACCATGGAAAAATTCTCCATGTATGCCTATGAATCTGCTTTCTTCGTTTCCAGCTTGAATGAGTGAGGGAAGATAAGGATGAAGTAGATCGCAGGAAGAAATTAATTGTTAATGCAACGTCTTAATCAGTCTACTTTTTTTTTTCTTTGATAAACTTAGTCTACCTTTTTTGTTTCGTGTACATAATTGGTTAAAGGAGTAATCCACAATACAATTAAGGAATTTGTTTTTTGAAAAATTGTCTCACCGTTGGCATACCCGAGAAGTAAACATTAATCAATAAAGCTGAGAGAAAAAAGTGAAAATTAAGATGTTATGAGATTTTAAATATGAAAATTTTTTGTGAAATTATTGAAATGTGAAAATTTTTTGTGAAATTATTGAAACATTTTTAATAAATCTTTTTTGTGCCTTGATTCATTAATTCATTAAGAGTATATATTTTAATTGGACAATGATTACACTTAGTTTAACATACTGCAAACATACTTATTAAAAAAATCATTATTTATTAGTATAAAATTAAAAACAGATAAGTTTAAAAATACAATTATACATATAGAATATAAGAATTGACTGAATTGATTGTATTTATATTATATTTTTAATTATTAAATCAAAATTATGTCAAAAATGTATATTAAATTGATAGTGTATAGATTATTTTTTATTTTAATTTTTTTATTATCAATCATGACATTTTAATTGCTAAAATATCTTTATTTTTTTTTATAATATTAAGCAACTAACCTTCTAATATACCCAAAGAATATATATATGTTACTTCTACATATGAATAACTGATTTTAGGTGTATGCTTTATGATGTTAGAGACCAAGGTTTGTTCTGATTAGATTTTTATCGTGTTTCTTGCCACACCCATATGAAAGACCTTGTTTTGAACTTCTAGTCAGTCCTGCAAGTGAGGGAACGGGTAAAGTGAAATTAAGATTCTCACATTGAGGAATTAATAAGAACAATTTATATAGACAAATATAATATTACTTAATTAAAGTATTGTCAATTGATTTTTAATTTTGACCTTTTGGGTATACTAACAGTGATGCAAAAAATTTAAGTAGGGATGCTAGAGAGATAAGAGGACGTGTGATGGAGTTTTTTTTTTTTTATTGAAAAACAAAAAATTAAAACGGTTAAGATCAAGATTATCCCTCATATAATACTTATATAAAATTCATATAAAAGTGATATTATGAATACTCTTGACCTATTAATTAGACTATCAAATAACTCTGACTTCTCGCAATCCTTTTTTTATTATTCCTTTTAAAAATGAAACAAAAACAGTGTTTTCTGTTCTGGCCTTATTGGATATCCTTTCAAAAAGGGTTAGCCTCTCTTAAAGAGGGATTGACTCCTTTTATTATTAGTTTTTCTTTTTGACCTTTTAAAATTTACAATGCTTGGCAGCGTGTTAGGCGGTGCAGGTTCTCTTTTCAATGCCGTTGGATAAAAAATATTCAATAACTGGCTTTTTCTTTTCAAAAAGTTATTCAATTCATTTTTTTTTTAATTTTAAATAAATAAAATAAAATAATATTAATATAATTTTAAAGAAGTTTTATTTAAATATATATTAAAGAGGAAGTGCTCTATTTATGCGTTTCGTTTTGAGATTAAATATATAAAATGTGAGTTTATATAGAATAAAAATAATTATGATATTATAATATTAACAAAACTTCAAACAGAAATTTGTCATTGATTATGCTCTAAGCCACTAAGTACATACCATAAACTTCTTTTTTTTTCTTTTTTCTTTTTTTAATTTAAACAAGAATAATTACAAGGGGTTAGCATGTCATTGCTTAAGATTGAACCCAAGACTTACATAAATAGATGCCTAGCCATAAAGCCTTCAACCATACAAAATGGATTGATTTTTGTAATTTATGATCCAAATTATATTAAACTATAAAATTATAATAATTAAAAAATAAAATAACCTTCACTATTAAAGAATTTCACCTCCTATCCAATAATTTTAATTAAACAATTCAACTTCATAATACTTTTTTAAGTAATAAAAAATTAAAGTTAAAAAGTAATAATTTATAATTGTATTAATAAAAACATATTAAATGCACTTGACCGAGAGAGCAAGTAAAAGGTTTACTTTAACATCACACAAAAATTTAAAAAAAAAAAAAAAAGAGAAAAAAGAAAAGAAAAAGTAAAAGGTTTACTTCTGTTGATCCATTCCCAAAACTTAGCATTATTAATTATTTTACCATTTCTAACTTAAAACAGGCATAATCTACATCCATCAATTATGCTGGCCCAACAACTACACAAATTACTAGAAAATATCAAGTATTGCACCGCCAAAACTTCCGTTGAATATTACATACTCAGTCAAAATTACACAAATAACTGTACAATTCGGTAGCAGAGCTGCAATCCAGCAACTGTTACTTTAGTTGCACTGGAAGACCACAGCAATCATCTGGGTACTCCATCACCTGAACCTAAAACATACAAAGGAGCGAAACTGGAGATAGGAATGCAGCACATGCTTCTCCTTAAAGAGAGGCAGCTCAATAGCCTACCCGGTAGAATTGGGAAGCAATATATGCATATAGTACAGATTACAAAATTTAGTTGGCAAAGAAACAATCAAGTAACCATGTGTGATTTTGTGAAATTGACATGCCGCTGTGCCTGACAAACCACGACCAGTCATGCTTCTAAGAAACCATACTTAAAATTCCATAAATGGCTGCTAAAGCTGGCCCAATTTGTCCTGTTAAACCAAGAGAAACAACTTGAGTATTAGTGGAACATTATTTATGCACATAACATCTGGCATTCTTAAAGGTGCATGACTTATATTCATAAAAATTGGTATTGCATAAACCATGCATACATGAGAGAGTTTTGGTTCTCATATATGATTAAAAACCAGGCATAAGGAATCTATTTCTCTGAACTTCCATTGGGCTCACAGATGAAACAAAACCATCTAAGCAAAAATAGACTGAATAGAATATGATTACCTGAAGCATCTGCATCAATTTTGGATGTTGCTCCAAAAGCTGGCAAAGTTTATCTCGATCACCCAACAAAGACTGCCATAAAGAAAAGAAAAAACAAAGTAAGACATGGAAAATGCTACTCAAATGGTTTCCTTTCGTAATAGGTTATAAATCACATACCTGGATAGCTTCTGGAGACTGGAAGTACTCGTGCAATGACATTCCAGAATCTTGTTGTTGCTGTGGTGCACCACTCCCTTGCTGACGTAGGGCTTGAGCTGGTTTAGCAAGCTCAGACTGCAACTGTTGCTGTGCTGATGAAAACTCTTGCTGTTGGGGTTGATGATAAGAATGAAGTCCAGAAACCTGAGGTTGTTGCAGAATTTGTAGTGGATGCATTTGCATCTGAACAGGGGTTTGCAAAGATACCCCTTGATCCAACTGCTGAGAAGTTTGCATTGGTGGCCTAAGTTGCTGAGGTAGTTGCAGAGGACGTTGAAGCTGCTGCAGAGGCAACTGAAAGGCTGGTTGAGGTATAGAAGGATTCTGCAGAAGTGGGTTCTCACCCTGCAACTGAGCTGAAGTGCTTCCATAAAGATTAACAGGGATGGAAGGTGGCCTACCAAAAACTGAAGGTGACATCAAAGGAGGAGGTGGATATCCAGCACCTGATACAGAAAAATTGCCTCCAGCAGGGGCAATAGAGCTATGAGAAAGCTCAGTCGTCCCAATGCTAGTTTGATTATATGCCAACAATTGAGAAGTAGAAGCATTCAAGGATGACAAGTTATACGGGGTAGAAGAAAATGGAGGTGGTGTGGAAGGAAGCGGTGGTGGAGGCCTAGCAGATCCACTAGGTGACGACATAGAGGTTCTGGTAAACTTAGAATCTGGAATGGGATGGGAAGATGATAACAATGGACTATTACTAACTGCAGACATGTAATCAGACTGCACCTGCAAGAAAGAACATCTTGAGAGATTATAGACAATGCCAAAATTAAATCAGAGAATGACTCAACAGTGCATCTAAAATACTGAAAAATGTACTTGCTTTCCTTCAGTTGGAACAGCTGCTAGACATCACACCTGTATGTCATAGGGTACAAGACTGCAGATTAGAGATTTGGGGTGAGAGGACTTACCGGAGTGATTGCTGATGGAGGAGGCATTGGAGGTAAAGGTGGTTGATACATTCCTCGAGATCCAGTCACTACAGGAATATTGCTGGCATATTGAGGACTGCTTTTAGGATAGAAATTTTGTGGTATCATCCTTGAATCTGATGGCATTTGTAGTGACGTTGCTGGCGCATTACTATAAGGAACTGCAAACCCAGAACTATTTGCTGCTGCAACAGAACCAAACCCACTAGAATTCTTAACTGGAATAACATTCTTTGTCTCATCAGATTGCTCAAAAAATTTCTTATCCGAAGAAATACTAGGTTCTCGATTCAGTGGAATGTCTGGGCGTGAAACAGACATCCTTGAAGAAAACTCACTTTGGGGATTCTCATCAAGATTAGTTAATGGTGTGCCCATGTGAGAAAATTGACCACTTCCATTGACATCACTCTCTGTCTCTTCAACAACTGAGTGTGGAGAACTTTGCTCAACCATGACAGGGGCAGGTTGCTGTAGGTTATCATCTGGCTGGGGGAAAGGCAATTTATCATCAGTTTCAGACTCTTCACCATCAAAGACTATATCAATTCCCTGAAGATCATCATCAAGATCAGTTTTTAGCTGCTTAGATTTGTTCCCTTTTTCAGGATCTGCTTCGTCTCCAGAAGCTACATTCTTAGGCTGTGTTGCTGCCTCAACACCTGTTGTTGACCCAGGATTCTGGCGCTCCCTCTGCCTAGCCATAAATTCATCAACATGTATAGAGGGAGGTCTGCCCCCACTAGGTCCCACTCGCTGGACTGCTATCACATTAGAGTTAGCAGTACCATCAACATTCCTTTCTCTTGCAACATAGTCATCCACATGCATAGATGGGGGCCTACTGGTATTGGGTTTTCTTTGTCGGAAGGTATCCCTCCGGGTGGCACCAGTCACAGCTGTCGATGTACCCAGTCCCCGTGAAAATGCATTTTGTGTTGGGATCTCAGCCCCAGGATTTTCCCCTCTGGCACGCTTACTTGAGCCATCTGCAGGTGGCATTCTCCTCCTCACAGGAAGAGTTGTCTGTGATGATCTCTCAGGTAAGGTTTCTGGCAGTTCCCAATAGAATTTGTCCCCGAATCCTAATGGGTAGAATTGATCATCAGCCCTTTCACCATTGCCTTGTGCAAACGGAAACGATGCTGAGGGAGTTTCAACATCAATTGGGGGCAGAAAGTGCCTTTCACTGGGAAGTATATCATTCACATTAGCTGCATCAATAGGCTTTTGGAGCACTAACAATAATTTCTTCACACACTCTGAAACCTGTAAAGAAAGTAATGAATTCAAGTCCCAAAACCAAACCAATCCAAGCAAAAAGGAGAAAACCAGTAATCATTACCTGATAGAAACTAGAATGCAAGTTAGAGGTAGCTTGACTCTCATCATTACTGATCCTGGAACTCAAGAAGGTAAAGACTTCCTGAACGTAACTTATGTTCCCTTCTGGGAAGCAATCTATTCCAGCCATATCATCAGGAAGCCCAAAAAGGAATTTCAGTGCAACAACCGCATTCAAGTTCAAACTGCCAACAAGAAAAATCTTAGTAAGACCATAGAAACAACTCAAGACTATCCACCTTAAAAACTAAGGAAAAACATCTAAATCATTTTAGAGACCAGTGATATGCATAACTGACCTTTTCCCATTCATGCAAAAGGACAAAGAACCTGAAGACAATACAGTAACAGCCTCAAGTGCATAGGCTGACGAAACATCTTGTGATTCTACTGATCTGAACAACTTTCTCAAACAAGATAACAGAGGAGGGCACTCTCCCCATTCAGAACCATTTAGAAAAGCAAATTTTCCATCTTTTTCATTTCCTCCCTCAGGTTCAGGTTCCTGAAGACTAGAACAGTTATCAACAAGCAAAGCCAAAAATGCACTATGGCCTTCATCACAAGATCCTAAATTTTTAAAAGCTGTAAGGCAAGAAAGTAACTCTTTTCCAACTGGTAGAACCTGCAGAACAATATTAGATTCATCAGAAACTAACTATACGCAATATTAACTATAATTATTTTTCACTGCTAAGCACTTTATAGTTGACAAAAGGTCTTTCAACAAAATCTTAAATTACCTGACAAAACTTCAGGAGATAATGTAAAAACAAGGAACAATCTTTAGTGCTCAAACTGTCAAATTTATGTCTGGTAAAAACAATGCAAGCAAACATGTTATCAAATGCTATAAAGAATGTAAGGAAAAGAATATAATTACAGGTCCTCTCCTCACAAATCATACCCTCCAGGATATTGCAGAAATGCTCTAGAATTACATAGAAGTGAGATGGATTGGAAAACAGGGAGGCACCAACTAGTAAAAGAAAACCCAAATTTAGCAGAATATCTACTATCAGGAATCTGCCTCCCATCTGAATCAGTAGCATCAAAACTCCTCTCTAACACTTCAATTAGCATCTGAGAAACACCCTCCCCAAGCAAAAGTGCCTGGTAATGCAAGATGAGCCAAGTGAGTAGAAATATGCTGGTAACCATTTAAGAGAACATATAAAACAAAATGCATGAACAGATGGAAAAACCTTGGCCTTCGGATGCTCCAATAATCTGGCAAGAAAATCAAGAAATCTATAGACCTGAAAATGACAGAAAAAAGGAAAAAAAAAAAAATTATACCATTCCTTTTCTAATACTACATAATGATTTATTCATGCACAGGAATTTAAACTAAGTTTCTCCAAGGCCTCAACCTAGGAATTTACCTCTAGGACTTATTGGAAGTAAGTTAAAACTTTAAATATAATCTTTAAACTGCAATACATGCAATCACCTTGTAAGTATCCATGTCAGTTAGAGAAGCTGTGTCAGAAACACAATCACGTATCCCTGACAATATAGGGCGCAGAAGTTTACAAGCATGTTCAGTTTTTTGGCAAGCTATGCGAACTATGAAAACTCGAAGCATGTCTTGTATAACTACTAATGCCTGTATGAAAACAATACAATCCAAGAGGTCAATTCCCACAAATACCAGAAAAAAAAAGAGCAAGAAATTTAGTGTAAAACGTATGTGACAGAGGACATACAGAAATAGCATAATGTTGTATAATCTGGGCAATTTGGTCAAGTTGTGGGGTTAACTGGTTAAGCAACTTCTCAAGATGACCACACTCCAGATACCAATCAACTTGTTTCTCTTTCTGAGGCCCTAACAATGTCCCAATAGCCAATGTCCTCAGGCCACTCAACAATGGCATCCCATTCTTCCAAAGCCAGACACTTTCGTTTGGAAACAGATCATTCTTACAGCAAAAGAGGAATAGGAGTAAAAAAATAGTCAGAACCACAGTTAAATGAGATTTCAAAAGAGGAAACAGTTTTCACTATTCAGTTGAGAACAAAAAATTTTTGCAAAACAGGAAACCATGGATAGCATCCAATTTGAGATCTCTGGTTTTCAGGGTGACATATAACAGATATTTAGTAAACAAGAAATGAAGCTGTCACAATTAACTATTTCAGTATTAGCCAACAAATGAAAAGAACTAGATGGATGGTAATTGGGGAATAAAAACAAGAAAAATACAGTCAGTCATAATTCGACTTAAATATCACATACCAAAATACAGAGTAAACTGCAAGTCTCCTTTGGACCCAATGCCAATGATGAAGTGGCTTGAACACTGGCAAGAAGGGAGTGGAAAAGTCCAGGAGTCCAGCCATAGACAGACCAAAAGGCAAGTGCTGAGACAATAAGATGGCATACAGCTCCAAATCCAAGAGCAGAATCAGGGTAAGGAGAAGATAAGTCTGCTGCACAAGCGGCTAGCTTTGGGCTACAACCACAATAATTAAATTCTTACACTTCACTCAAAAGGTCATGATATAATTAAAGTAGTACATAAAAAAGGGCAAAATGCATTACCTTACTTCTCGGTGCAACCATAAGAGTGCATTCATCAATTTTGTATTTCTGTGCTGCTCCTTAGCTTCCTATATGCAAACAGCAGCAGACAAATAAATTCCAGTTATATATATGACAAAGGTATATAATGTTCAACAGCTACTTGACAGAAGAAATAGAACTGAAGTTGCGAGAAGCCCTTTCATACAGAGAAAACTGGGGTGCATTGCTATCAACTTTTATTGAGGTTAAAATAAATGACATAAAACAAAATATTCTGCCAACAACTAAGTCTTCCTACCAAAATCTTTAAAATGAGTTGTGAAAAATTGTCAGAGAGAAAAGATCCATTTTTAATTGAATTCAGCTATCTCAAAACTTTTCATGATGTTTTTTCATTTAGAAAAATGTTCCCCTTTCATCAAATAGGATAAAAAGCCGATTCAATACAATCAATCAAGAGGCAACAAACCTGTAATTTCTGCAAAAGAGTGATCAACAATATGAGGGAAGGAACCAAAAGATCAACTAAGCTCTGTTCACGATTACGTTCTAGTAATAGATCAGATGTGGAATTGCATTCTGTTCCCTCATCAACAAGATAATCTGCACAAGGTTAAACAAAACCAGAGGTATAGAGTAAGCATGGTCATCTGAAAGAGAATAGAATGCAGATATTAGTTAATCTATTTAAGAAATTTCACAAAAATTTACAGCCTTTTTCTGGTTAAAGCATCTATAATTATAAAGCTCTCAAGGCTGCATTTTTAAGAAAGTTGGATTCACCAATGGATGAATATTGTGCACTGCACAATTAGTCAGCATAATTTATGAAAGCTTGAGCCTACAACAAAGTGTTATAAAAGGTTATGATTTAGTTCTGGTTTTCCTCTAGTCTAATTGAACCTCACAAACCATGAGAAGAAAATGGCTAAAGTTATTATGTATGTAACTACTAACTAAATCAAATAAAAAAAATCCACTCAAGTGAAGCAATAGTCAATGACTCACCATAGCTGCTTGAGGACCTCTCAAGCATGAAGCTGCAGTTTATTAGAACTATATAAATGACTGCTATGGCACCTTCATCATACAAAGCAGCAGCAACAGTCTACACAGCAAATTATAAAAGATAAGCCAAATCAATTCAACTTCTAATTTGAATTAAGAATAGGAGATAGCATACCGAGTTCTCCGAAATAAATGCCAAAATTCGAAATGCAGTTGTCAGCTGCACAATAGAAGAGTCACGGAGAGTAACACCATCAAAAGACTTTTCAGAGATGATCCTTCCAAGATTCTCCATGACATTATCATCTGAAGGATTAGAAGATTCCCCACCAGCATTCTCAGCATCTGTCAAATCAGAACCTAAAATGGTTGTTGAGGTTGAGTGAGCATCTCCTCCAGAAGCTAACAGCGCAGCATACCGTAGAAGACCAATAGCCCCATTTTTATGATAAACCAAACCAGCATCAATCCATTCCAACAGGCGTATAGGAGCATCTTTCCTATTGGACCCAGGAGAAGAAGAATATAAAGCCTTATGAAGTTCCATTGAATGTCCAATCCATGAAGATAGAGACGATGCAGTTGAATCAGTGACAATGACTTCTAGTATTTCAGCAGCTGAGTGCAAAATTGCAAGATTAAGTGGTGTAGCCCCTGACCACCCAGAATTCTCCCCAAGTAAGCCTAAGCACATGCTTATAATGAAACAACTTTTAACATATATAAAATTATTAAGCTACCATTATTTTTGATGGCTGGCTCTGAGTCTTTAACAGAATGTAACACTTCAATCAAAACTGAAAGAGCCTATCAACAAAAGAGAAAAACATGGGAAAGAAATTAAGTATTGATACAAAACAATGGAAGCAAGTAATACATACATACAGGCAATAAAAGTGCTTATATGACTGGCTCCACATTGCCACAATTTAAGAGGACAGGATGTTAAAATTGATAGTTCTGGAGGAAGCTCATGTTATACACTAATTTAAATAAGGTAATATGGTATGGTGTTTAGCTTTACATATTATAATATTTCACATAAAGAGAAAAGGAACATTAGAAAGTCAATATAATAGTCAAAATCTGGAAATCAAACTATACAAAATTTTGGTTAGTCCCTTTTAATCAGTTCACAATCTAATGGAAGTATGATCTTCAGACAGCACATGCATTTACCAATACCTCTGGAAAAAATGTCAAGGCTAACAAAGCCTGCCGCCCACAATCAGACCTGCAGGTCATGACACAAGGGTAAGAACCATGAATGTTACATGAAAAGTCAGACAATAATGAAGTGATCATCCAGTTTTACCTAGAAAGACCACACAGCTCCCATAATACCCATAAAAATTCTTCTGACTGAGGAGTTGATGCAAGCAAACGATCTACAGCACTAACCTGCATCATCAACCTGCTGTACTTAGTAGCAAGCCAGAAGTAAAAAGGAAACAGATACCTGATCCAGTAAATGGAACTAACCACCCTCAGATGTGTCTCCACAATCATTCCAACTTCCCACGAACCACAAGTAAAACCCTTTGACATCAAAACACATGCGTAGCGCAGAGGAACACACTCCTCCCTGTTTACATTGTCAGAACCTTTCAAGGCATGGATTACAGTAGCAGTGAGTTCAGGGTGATGCAGTAAGAAAACCATGCCTGAAACAGAAACAATGCCACATCAATCACAACATCAGGATCAGTAAAATTTAACACTCCCAGATATGGATCAATTAACAAAACCTGAGCGACAGAAAAGAAGTGATAGGATAATGGCTCCAATGGATGATGCAATATCCATAGATAAATTTGCGGCATCTTCAATTTCCAAATGCAAAATGGATGTTGACAACATTGCAGCTGACAATGGAAGAAAACCTCTCTCCTGGTTCCAAGATAGATTGAATGTTAATCATCAAACAAATAAAATTTCATCAAAACTCCTCCTGCCTAACTCACAACAAAAGTTGATAAATTAAGTCATAGAAAATAGGGGCCACTGATGGACCAGCACTCATTCTGACAGTGTGTTATATCTCAAAAGTCAAGCAAGGTGTATTTGCTCCCCAAAACTGAGTTGGTAAATTACTAAATCAAGGAATCAAGAGGGAACTGCTGTTTCCAGATGCACCCAACAAGTAGGAAAATAGGTACAATAAATGAAATATTTTCAACTTTCAATGCAGTTTCAGGGTTAAAAGTTAATCTTTACAATAACAATATTTGCATGAGGAACCTTGGGAATGTAGTTTTGGTCTACCAGAAATGTTATTTCCTATTGTAATTAAAGTTGCAGCTTTTAATTTTTTACACATCATTAAGTGGCTTAAATTAATTTACATCCCAAAAATACACCAATACAATGTTTATAAAGACAGATTAGTTTTCCAGACTATAGGAAAAAAGCAGTCTGATAAAAAAATTTGATGAAAAATTATGAATAACTTGGAACAGACAAACGGTGACCCATTCTTTACAAAGGAAAAGAAAGTTCAAATTATTGACAAATATATTTCTGCCCACAGGCCATAGATACAGAGAGTTCATATAGTTTAGGTTTATTCCTAAAGCAATATTGTCATGGTACTTGAAATAACAAAAACAAGCTTTCTCACAGACAGCAGTACAGCAAAGGAAACATTGAGTTAAGTGATAGCAGTCTTGGCCAACACAAAAACTTATACAATCACACTATATATATATATATAATGATTAAGTAATACAGACAGACACATATATGCAACATGAAGGATGTACCTATTCCTCTGATATTAACACTAGGGTAAAGGATTACGAAACCTTGATTTTTCTAATAATAATGTAAAATAGCATATATGAAGCAAGGCCACAGCCACTTATATTCATTACATGCCATTCTAAAACCATATCCAATACTGAACTAAATAATACTGAAAATTTCTGAGCAATATACCTTGAGAAGAGCCAGCAGATGGAAGTCGATCTCCCAAGTTGAAAAGCAACAATTTGAGGTAGCAATCAAGCTACTAGTTGCTTTAAAGGACAACAATCCCTCTGTTTGACCAAGTAGCAAAGATCTGCTAGCACATGCGTCTGGAGAAGGATCTTCAATTGGACCACGTGAATTTATCAGATGCTGCATTAGTGCTTGTCAATAAACACCAGCAAGAAAGGAAATGATAAATGCTACACGTTTCACAAGAAACCAAAAAAAAAAAGGCACAAAAGGGAAAACAATGTAGTTGAATAATTAAGAACTGACCAAGAGCCTTTTGAGTTGTGATTTGAGATCAATGAACATTCTTGAGGTAATGCTGTTATCTCCACCACTAGCAGAGAGCCCACCCAATATGCATAGAACTGCCCACTGGCAAGGAATAAAATTACATAGTACTTATTAGGTGGTTATGTACATAACAAGGATATCTGCACAGACTCATATCCCCAATTCAAAATCTTACCTCATATCTTGAAGCAACTTCATAAAATCTAAGTCGACGAAGGATATAAGTTGATAGAGAAGCAACATCATGTCGAGGTTTTTGCAGTAACAACTTCAACAGGTGACCATAACGATCACTAGTACCAGAAGGGATAGTTTCATCTTCACGAGGCCACCAACCTAGATATCCCTCACATCCAATAGAATGTCGAGTAGCCTGCTCAATAACTCCAAGTAGCAATAATGTAATGGTGGTGGACTTCTGCCTGTCATAACTAAAAAGGTGTGCAAGTTGATCCATTCCCCCGCAGCTGACAAAGTGAAAGCAGCTCTCCTTACCAGAGCACAAGAAGAGTGCCATGCTCAACCCTAGCAAGATACTCTGCAAATCAAGATGTCAAATCAAAATGAATAACGTCTTTCTTATTTCATCTGAAAGAGCACTTTTTCAATTTGTATTAAAAATGCAATGGAAGCAAATCACAAGATTCACACAGCCTCTTTTACAATTACCTCTGAGAGTTGATTCTGTCCAAAACTAGTAGAGCTACTGTCAAAATGGAAGTATGGGTATAAGGTCTCCACTAACTGCTTGGAAGAAACCAAATCAGCATCAGACTCCATGATGGTGTACTCTGGTTCAGGTGATCCATTCACAAGTTGATTTTGAAGGGATTCATAGAGCTCAATGAGTTCTTTTCTAGCTTCAGTAATAACAAGATAAACCTGTTCACAATCTTTGGCTCTTCCTGATGTTAGAGGTTTCTGATTGATGGCATTAGAATCTAAGTCACAGCTAATATAAGAAGATGCTGCTGACACTACTGCACTTACAACTTTATGGAGTGCAGATCCAAGGTTTGGCAACTCCAATATTTTTAAAATCAATTGTAGAAACTGCTTAATCTCAACAGATATATCTGATGCAGTTACAGGGAGAGATAATACATTAAGAGAATACAAAGATTCCTCAATTGTCCGATTAATTGTACGTAATGCCAGAGGTAGATCCTCAAGCTTCCCATCAACAGAACTGACAAGATTTGTTAAAGAGTTATCATCAAATTCGATGTTGAATTGCCCTAAATCCTCTGCCGTGTTTCCATAAATGACCAGGCTTAGGCTACGGTAGCTACCTCTTACAACGAGATGGTTTGTCACAACTGCCTGTAGAAATTTGGTGTAATAATATAAACAGAACTGTGGTAGAAGTTATCTTTCCAAATATAAACAAACAGGAGGCTAAGCACATACACCCACGTCAACATACAGACACAATGGCAGTACTAGGAAATAAATTCAAATCAGGAAAAATATAGGCTGATAAAAAAAAATGAAAAATATATTCATCACCTCTACTTCAAGGACATTTGATGATGAGTGAGAATACAAAAAGGGCTGACAGAGGCGCCTGAATCTTGTCTCTCCCTCACATTGAACAAATACCTCCAAAGCAAATGAAGGAGGTGAAGTAGCCCTGTATAAAATGCAAAATTCTGGATAATAAGTGCATGCTTAAACAATCCAATGCTGGAAAGGCTAGAACTGTCAATTTTTGGTTTGTGAAATTCCTCTGGTCCTAAAAGTTAAAATGATGTACTGCTCTTAATAAACATGTCTTGGACAAATGACTGGAAATTACTCAAAACCACAATCAATATATATCTACATAAAACAATAGTTCTCAATTGACAGGTTTTTAATTAAATAAATCCCTGGCTCACTTATTTGAATTTAAATTTAAAAATCCAATATACCATTGCCGTAATGTGAGATAATATGTCTCATTGAAGTTAATCATATTTCATTTTCAACATCTCTCTATTAGAAATAAAAAGAGAGGAAAAAGGGCAGAAAGGAACGAGGGATAAAAGGGTTTTCCAACAAATTATATGTAAATGATAAACACCTACACTTCAAGCTACATGATACTAACAAGAGTACCACGCAAAATACATTTTGCAAGGTTACGAACACCAAGAATTTGAATAGAATGGTCATTCGTATCCTTAGGTCAAGTCGTGTCATTTTCAGGCTAAAAGTATGTATTTTGTGTTGAAGTCCAGTCTCTTCCAGTAAATTTTCGACTGGTTCAAGACATATTCTTGTTCATGCACAAGAATATTACATGAGAACTAAGACGGAACTAACTCTAATTAAAATACTAAAAAGAAGCCAGTATCAATTGTAAAACAACAATAAAGTACACAGGCAACATACCCAACAAGGGACACTGCTTGAGACGCAGAAGGCGCGTTCTGTTCCAGGAACTCACACGCAGTAACAACAACTGACTCAGCAAACAATACCTAAAATCCACCAAAGGAAAAAAAGACACTGCCATAAGCAACTATCATTGCAATCTGGCAATAAATTAATAGTTAAAATGAAGAAAAAGTAAACAATAATTGAAAGTGAAGAAGAGAGTTACCTCATCGACGTACTCGTCGAGCTGAGGGTGGACGAATGTCTGAGCAAACAGAACGCAGGGCTCCGGACGACCCATTCGTGGAGATCTCGTGGATCTTTGGTTCGATTGAGTTAGCGGAACATGAAATTTGCGAGCTTCTTGATTTGAATATAGGGTTTAGGGTTTCTTGTTTCTGCGTCTCAGGGGGCTTTCTTCCTCCTTCGCAGTTTACTGCAGAGTTCTTCAGTATTTAAATCTCGTCGCCGAAGTGGAACTTGAAAGAGAGAGGGAAGGAGGACTAGAAATTCCTTCTCGTTGCGGATTACTTATATTTTTTTTCTTTTTCCTTCTTCTTTTTTTTTTTTTTTTACGAGGATCGGTTATGTGTTTGGTTATATGTTCTAATTAAATTTTTTATTTTATAATTTAAATGGCCTTATATAATAAAATAAAAATTATTATTTGTCGAGATGTCCCAATTTTATGTTGAAGTATGAACTAAACAACATTTTTTTTTTTTAGAAGAGTTCACTGGTAAACCATACGAGATGGTAAATATGAATTATTGAATGGTATTTTATTTTTTTTAGATTATAATAAAAGATAACTATTACTTATCTTATAAATACTATATTCTATTTATATATTATATAATTTAAATTTAAATTTTTTATTTTTAATTATTATTAAATTATTTAAATTATTAATCACTTTTTTATTTTAAAGATATGTTTTATACGAGAAAAACATTACGCCTTTAAATTTTTTGTTTGCTTCTAAAAAGAATTTTTTAAATAATTTTATCTATTTAAATTGTATGTAATTCGAGTTAATTAAATAGCATTCATTAAAAAATGCAATTTTAATTTAAAACCACCCTTTTTAAAAGGTAGTAAATCTTTATCCTTTTAATGTATTGAAGGAAACAAAAAGACAGTCCCCATCATTATACTCTCCTTTGTTTGAGAAAATAAAAATAAAAATTGTGTTTCTATTCACTAGTCTAGTTTATGATTTAAATTTTAGATAAGTTTTAAAAAAATTAAATTTTTAGCTTGGCAACATGAGAATATGCCATTAAAATTATTGGTTTAAAAACAAGAAAATATAGGAGACAAGGACCATGCTACAAATTAATAACAATTTAACTCATTACATTAAAAATAATCTATAATTTAAAAGATACTTATAATTGAACTCATTTATGAGTAGTACTCTAAAAATATATAATTATAATATTATATAATAAGGTAACTTTACACTATAAATTTTTAACTATAACATTGCTAGTTGTTTATCATCCACTAGAAAATGTATTCCAATTCATGCAAAATTGTGTGAATGAAAAGAGAATTACTTTTTTATTTCTTTTATTTACATTTCATAAATCATTTATCAATTTAGCCATTAACAAGATAGAAACAGTTGTATTATAAACTTCTTCAAACATTGTTAAATTCCACATTTGTAAGGATGGATACCTCATCCTATGAATTCATGATTAAATTTCTAAGTTAAAATTTAACTGCTTGTCTGCTTCTATTTATGAAGGTCGATTCAACAGTGTCTGAGTGTGGACACAAATATTATCACAGTACAATTGGATCTTAAGGTCTACAGGCTGCTATGCACTAACTGGGGGTAAAAACAAAAAAGAAAAAAGAATAGTGAACTCCTAAATCCCATCCAACTGTAATAATAGGAGGTGAAAAAATGAATGGCAAACTCCTATCTCCAGAAAGTTCTAATGCTGAAGGGGAGGAGAACTCAGTACTGTAGATTTTGACTGTGCAATAGTTCAACAACAGCAGAAACCACTCCCTTCCCTTCCACAGAAATGTCAAATCCTGGTTCCCCAATCTTTCTCTTTAAAAGCTTGTCAAGTTCTCCTCGTAATTTCTGCAAAATGCAACATTGTCACATTCATCTTTTGCTTGCCCTATAGATTAAGGAGGAATAGAGAAATGAAGCAAAAATTATTAACAATGCAAAAGTCAGATATGTTTAGAGGCATTACCCAAATTAACTCTAACACACTCTTTGATGCAGAGAAGTGAAGGTAACCTCCAAGCATCTCTATACCCTCCCTGGTTTTGCTAGGAAGGAGGCTCCCACCAAATAGCAGCAATGCAAAATCAGATATGTTTGTTGAGTCTCGGATATAAATGCTGCTAGTTTTCACCTTTTCACTATAAACCATGTACGGCAAAGGAAAGAGATGAACTCCTGCATTGACAGAAGCAGGATGGATGTCAACTTTCCCAACTTCTTTGGTGTAGAATGCTGTTCGCTTTCCTCTTGTTTTGCATTGCACAACATTTGGGTAAAGCCCAGCACAAAGGATAGCACACACCATCTCCAGATCATCGCTGAATTGGTTGTAAGCCTGTACGGTGCATATGATTCACATACAAATCATAAGCACAGATAATTTTAAAAGCATAACTGATGACAGAAGACATGAAGAGGCATAACTGACTTGTAACACATCAATGAAAAGCCTTCTTAAATCCATTATGGCTAGGCTGCTAATGTAGTTCGAAAAGAATGATATACAGACGTAGAACAGAACTGAATAGCAGAAACATGGAAAGCTTCAGACGAAACAGGAGAAAGCATTGGTGAAAACTTACACTAGCACCCTTTGATTTGTCTACAAAGCCTATGTCTGATAGTAGATCCAGAAACTGATTTCTCATATCTTCTATCATCCGCAAGGTTACAGAGGATAAAAAATTTTCCCAACAAAATGCTCTCTCATTTCCATTATGTTTTGCATCCTTGTATCCTTCAAATGCTTTGAGAAGTGCTATGTGGTCACTGCATTAAGTGAGTTCAGATTATCCATTTAGCAAGCAAAATGATCACCATCAATTTTGATACAATGAGGCAATGCCATAAAGATGGAAAAGGATAACTTAACATAAGGGTCATACCTGCAAGAATCACCTGCAAATGATCTTTTCACTTCATCAGCTTCTTCTTTCCTATTTATTGGGAGGACAAATGGGTCACGATATGTAAGAGCAGCTGCAATAGTCAGAGCTGGATTGAGGCATTGGAAAATAGCCCCCATTAGAAGCATTTTTCCAATGTTGGGATCCAAAGGTAAAGTGCACAGATGGCAACCTGCAAGTTGATGGCTCATATTATGGTAAATAAGCCAAATCAAATATCTAGTCTGGAGAAACACCGTAATCCAAAAGTAGTTACCAAGTGGAGTAAGTTCTTCATTGTCATCTAAAGCTCCAATTGTCTTAAGGAGTTCAAGGGCATTTTGAACAGAAAGAGGATCTGGTGGCTGAATTGCCTTTGCTAAAAATGATCCTACAGCACCAAGTTGCAAGCTTTTGATATGAAGGCATAGCTCTTGCAAAGGTGTACGGAGAATTTCAGGTAATTGATACTGACGCCACGCATCATGGATTAGTTTTGGATAAAGCCTATAACAAACCCCAGGCTGCACACGGCCAGCACGACCACGTCTCTGAAATTATCCACCATGTCAGCAAATGAAGCAGTTTGCTAAGCAATAAAGTTGGCTATATAATATAAAACAGACAAACAAGATGTATTAATTCTTCAACACTTTTCTTTTTCTGAGTCTACACCTGATGTGCTGAAGCCTTTGAAATCCATGATGGTAACAGACATGCCAACTTGTTTGGAGCATCATAGCTGGTTTCCTTCGCCTTTCCACAGTCTATAACATACACAACGTCATCTATCGTAATACTACTCTCCGCAATATTAGTTGCCAAGACAATTTTTCTACAAGAGGGGAGAAAAAAGAAGGGATTAAGCAGATTTAGAACTACAGTACAAAAATGGGAAGGAAGATAGAGAACCCAGAATGTTAAGCGCAAGTAAAACTGTCCTGAGGCATCGTAGGTGTGTCATAGAAAATTACAAAAAAGAAAGATGGAATGCTAGAACCTTAAACTGTAGGTATTGATAAGAGGCAGTAATGAGAACTGCACTTAAGCCATAATGTTAATGCAAAACACACTTGATACACAAAAGCCATCTTTTCAAGAAAATGAAATTCCAGAAGTTACATTCTGCTTGTAAATAACCCAGATATCCAATCATAGGTGCAATGGAAGACGCCAATTTTGGTACACAATTCCTTGACTAAGGATTAAGCTAATTTAATCTAAACAGTTTAAGATTCATGACCAAGTTTTCCTAGGAAAAACTGTTCTCTAAATGCTAATGGTTAAATTACCATAAGCATCAGAGTGTGGATCACATCATAAACTAACATGGCATTGAAAATGAAAAGAAATTTTCTGCCCAGTTCCTTATAAAATATAATACAAAATATAAAGCTCAGAAAAGGAATAATTTCTTTATTTTGAGAAAAGAATTTATAATATGACTCCCCAAAGAATCGGGAATACTTGACCATTGGGAAAAGAAGAATTAATAGAATAGAGATGCATACCGCTTTTCAGGAGGAGGACGATCAAATATTTCTTGCTGGTTGACGGTGGGCATTGAACCATGTAGGGGCAGAATTAGAAACTTACGAGGATCACCAAGAAATCTGTTTCCTTTCATCTTGTCAAGCAGCTTGGAGATTTCATCCCAGCCTGTGAGGAATACAAGAAGTGCTCCATCATCTTCATGATGACAGATATATTCAATGGTTGCCTCCACCTACATATTAATATTTTGTAACAGTATCTTTTATCAGCATATTTACAATTTTATGGGATCATACAAGAACAATTACAAAATCAGGGTGCAAGAAACAATATATTATGAATAGTGAAAATTTTCAAAGACAGATACAGTAAAAGCAATATCATCATCTATTACAGACAAAAACATCATTCCCTAACTATTGCATTTACTCCTTAGACTATAAATTTCAGGAAAAACCAGTCATACCCATCAGTTTTGATGTCATACCTTTTCACATATTCTTTTCAGAATCATCATCAGAAAGTTAAATAAACTAAAAACATTTCCTCTGATATAGAAAATTACATGCTGGAAAAGGATAAATAATACAGCATTTAGCTGATTCCTAAAAGTACATACCAGGCCCAAATCCAGCTGTGAACCTGACCATGCTTCCAGCGAATGCCTGGTAGATGCACTGTAATTCTTATACTGAGTGTCAATATCAACATCCTACACAAGCAGAAGCAATACTTGAATACATATTTAACAGAACAAAAAATAACTCCATAGAAGTATACTGAAATCCTCTTCTCATTATTGATAAAAGGTATGCATTTCAGAAGATGAAAGCGTTATGCCAATAGTTAGTGTGTTAATACTTAACAAAATAACT